GGGGTTGGGGAAATTGCCCGTCGCTTTAACGCGGAACTTTTTTCAGGAGCATCTGCCGCGCTACCGCGAGGAGTGCCGGTGGGCTAGGGGCGCCGGCGGTGGTGTGATGCCAACTGCCTCGCCTGGTATGCGGGAGGTCGTGGGTTCGATCCCGATGCCTGTATACGTGGAGTTGGCGTGTATCTCTCCCCATCTCTCTCTCTCTCTCCCCGTGCATCTTTTCTTCCCTGGGTCCTCCGGTTTCTTTCACCTCCACATTTAGAGCCAACTTCACGCGTTTATTTCTGCTATAAATCTCCACGTGACGACGACGATAAGCCACTTGGTTGCGCTATCGCTTGCGACAGCCGGGCCGATTCTGACAGAAGCGCTATAGAGCATCCTTACAGCCGTTGTTTGAGTATTAATCTCCGCTTCATAACCCCCACCGTTTCGGCTGCCTCTTCATATTCTCAATACACGGCAACCGCTCATTAACCGCCGTACACTCCCCGTCACTTCCTCTCCCGTCTACTCCATTCACCTCATCTACCGCCGTTAACGAGCCATGCCTACCACCGCCGTTCGTTCCGTGGGTCTCTGTGTGAGTCTACGTGTCTCTGTGTGAGTCTGTGGGTTTCTGTGAGTCTGTGGGTCTCTGTGTGAGTCTATTGGTCTCTGTGTGAGTCTATGGGTCTCTGTGTGAATCTATGGGTCTCTGTGTGAGTCTATGGGTCTCTGTGTGAGTCTACGGGTCTCTGTATGAGTCTACGTGTCTCTGTGTGAGTCTGTGGGTCTCTGTGTGAGTCTGTGGGTCCCTGTGTGAGTCTATGGGTCTCTGTGTGAGTCTGTGGGTCTCTGTGTGAGTCTGTGGGTCTCTGTGTGAGTCTGTGGGTCTCTGTGTGAGTCTGTGGGTCTCTGTGTGAGTCTGTGGGTCTCTTGTGTGAGTCTATGTGTCTCTGTGTGAGTCTATGGGTTTATGTGTGAGTCTATGTGTCTCTGTGTGAGTCTATGGGTCTCTGTGTGAGTCTATGTGTCTCTGTGTGAGTCTATGGGTCTCTGTGTGAGTCTACGGGTCTCTGTATGAGTCTACGTGACTCTGTGTGAGTCTGTGGATCTCTGTGTGGGTCTGTGGGTTTCTTTGAGTCTGTGGGTCTCTGTGTGAGTCTACGGGTCTCTGTGTGAGTCTATGGGTCTCTGTGTGAGTCTGTGGGTCTCTTGTGTGAGTCTATTGGTCTCTGTGTGAGTCTATGGGTCTCTGTGTGAGTCTATGGGTCTCTGTGTGAGTCTGTGGGTCTCTGTGTGAGTCTACGGGTCTGTGTGTGAGTCTATGGGTCTACTGTGCGAGTCTACGGGTCTGTGTGTGAGTCTGTGGGTCTCTGTGTGAGTCTGTGGGTCTCTGTCTGAGTCTATGGGTCTCTGTGTGAGTCTGTGGGTCTCTGTGTGAGTCTATGGGTCTCTGTGTGAGTCTGTGGGTCTCTGTGTGAGTCTGTGGGTTTCTGTGAGTCTGTGGGTCTCTGTGTGAGTCTATTGGTCTCTGTGTGAGTCTATGGGTCTCTGTGTGAGTCTGTGGGTCTCTTGTGAGTCTATTGGTCTCTGTGTGAGTCTATGGGTCTCTGTGTGAGTCTGTGGGTCTCTGTGTGAGTCTACGGGTCTCTGTGTGAGTCTATGGGTCTCTGTGAGTCTGTGGGTCTATGTGTGAGTCTACGGGTCTCTGTGTGAGTCTGTGGGTCTCTGTGTGAGTCTATGGGTCTACTGTGTGAGTCTACGGGTCTGTGTGAGTCTGTGGCTCTCTGTGTGAGTCTGTGGGTCTCTGTGTGAGTCCACGGGTCTGTGTGTGAGTCTGTGGGTCTCTGTGTGAGTCTATGGGTCTGTGTGTGAGTCTGTGGGTCTGTGTGAGTCTGTGGGTCTCTGTGTGAGTCTATGGGTCTCTGTGTGAGTCTGTGGGTCTCTGTGTGAGTCTACGGGTCTGCGTGTGAGTCTATGGGTCTCTGTGTGAGTCTATGGGTCTCTGTGTGAGTCTGTGGGTCCCTGTGTGAGTCTATGGGTCTCTGTGTGAGTCTGTGGGTCTCTGTGTGAGTCTGTGGGTCTGTGTGAGTCTGTGGGTCTCTGTGTGAGTCTGTGGGTCTCTGTGTGAGTATGGGTCTCTGTGTAAGTATGGGTATCTGTGTGAGTCTATGGGTCTCTGTGTGAGTCTGTGGGTCTCTGTGTGAGTCTGTGGGTCTCTGTGTGAGTCTATGGGTCTTTGTGTGAGTCTATGGGTCTCTGTGTGAGTCTGTGGGTCTCTGTGTGAGTCTATGGGTCTCTGTGTGAGTCTACGGGTCTCTGTGTGAGTCTGTGGGTCTCTGTGTGAGTCTGTGGGTCTCTGTGTGAGTCTATGGGTCTCTGTGTGAGTCTGTGGGTCTCTGTGTGAGTCTATGGGTCTCTGTGTGAGTCTATGGGTCTCTGTGTGAGTCTGTGGGTCTCTGTGTAAGTATGGGTCTCTGTGTGAGTCTATGGGTCTCTGTGTGAGTCTGTGGGTCTCTGTGTAAGTCTATGGGTCTCTGTGTGAGTCTGTGGGTCTCTGTGTGAGTTTATGTACGTATGTTTTTTTTTTACTTCTTTCACACCGTACAAAGCCAACCATGTTAATCGGAGGTGCGGGGTAGGATGACAACAAGCTAATGCACCAAAAACAAATTTAAACCCGTTTTAAAATAAATAAATACGGATCTCTTATCGATAAACAACAAAACCCACAATAGTTTTTTTTATAAACATACTCTTTTTAAAACGGACTCGTGCGGGGTAAACGTACGCGTCTGCGCGCTGTGCCCACGTTACGCTCGGGCAGCGTTAATTCCGCGCCGAGGGTTTTTTGCGGCCTCCCCCGAGCGAAGTCGCGTTTTTTTTCGTTCCAACGTTCCGGCACGCGCACCTCGCGCACAACCGGCGCGGCGATTTGCGTGCGGGAGGCGCGGGAAACGATGCCGTCGGACGCGCGATGAGTGAGCTCGGAGGGATGGCGGAGGGGGGGGTAAACGCTCCTGGTGTTCGGATGAATCCCCGAAAGGACATCCAAAATTCGGGCCCAGATGTGAACATTGGGACGATCTCCGAAAGTGACCACGTCACGGGGAGGTGACGTCGTCACGTGTGACGTCTCCTGCCAAACGCGGTGTCAGTGGGCGCTCGTCTCCACGTTAGCAAGATGGGCAAATTAAATGCGGCGCGCAAATTATTCTAAATAAATACGAATTGGGGAAAAAAAATATACGTGAAATTGTACTTAAATCTCCCAACTCTTTGAAGGTGCCACTCAGCCCAAACACAAAACAAAAATCCCACCCCCCCCCCCCCCCCCGCGTGGAGCCTTTGACTGCCGGTGCAAGTGCCATCAGCTAAGTCACAAAACGAAGAGGGCGGGTGGCCACCTTTGCCGCCATATAGGCCTAGGGGAAGGCGCGAGCGGGACTCCAACTCGGCTCACCAGGTTCGTAGCGCAACGTGCTGCCGCTCCCAAACACACGCGCGAGTACATACATGAGCGTGTATGTACGTTGAGCTTCTCTCGCACCGTACGTAGTCACAACCGCGCTGATCGGAGGTGCGGGGGGAAGGACAACAAACTAAACCTACAACAAAAAAAGCAGTTGTAAAGAAACGAGTTGTCAACTTGAGATTTTAAAAAAAGTGCATAGCTTCACCAGTGGCTTCCTGATATCGGACGGAAGAGCGGCGTTCCACGGCGGCCCGCTAAGAAGCAGCGCCTGAAAATGCCGCGCGACGCTGGTGGCCACCTTGTTTGGTTCGGCGGTAGGCCGGAACCCCTTGCCGCCAACCCGCCGCTGCGAGGATGACCGGAGTTTGCGCGATGAAACAAGAGCTTCCCACCCCTCACCCACCCCGTGCCCTCGAGTGCGCGCGCCGCTGACGCAACGTACTTACGCCGAACTTCTTTCGCGCCGTACGTAGCCAACCGGTGGCTGAATCGGAGGACGACGGGACGCAAAAAAATGGCTCAAGTCCGAAGCCTAAACCCGCAGGGCCCAATGCCCGTCACCGACGACCGATATGGCCCTATGTTCGCAACAGCAACAAAAGCGCACAGAAAACATTCCAGCTTCCGTAAAGTGCAATTTTCACGTGTGTGTTTGTGTGTGTGTGTAAAAAAAAAAAAAAATCTATACGGAGCTGAAATAAAATGAACGTACTCGATAATTTACAACCACTGCCGCCACCCCCCCATCCCGCGCCCCCCTCTCCACGTGCGGTCAGCATGCAACATCATAGCACATGCAAGCAGAACCCCGGGGAGAGACCCGAGCGGGTAGTTGAGGCGCATGCAGTCCTAACGAGGGGGACAACCCGCCGGTCGACCCAGGGGCACCGAGGTCCCTCGCCGAGCCCCGCCGAGAGGGAGGGACGGCAGCTGAAAAGCCACGGGCAAAACGGGAGGGGAAGCAACGCCACCACGTGGGTGAGTGCGTCCTGCACGTCCGTCGAGCAGCGCTTCAAAAAAACAAAAAATGCGTCGACCGTCACCGGTGTAAAAGCACGGGGCCCCAAAGACGCGATTGCGGGGGGGGGGGGTGGGGAAAAGATGTGACGAAAAAATAATTAGAATTATTCCCGGTTTGAACGTCGCCGCGGATGCCGATGCACGTTGTGGTGTAACAACGCGGGGGCAACGTGCAACCCCGTGTCCTACGTAAAATACGTAACGACCGCGCTTCGCAAATCGCTTGTGCGTCAACGGTGACCGCACAAGGGTGCCGCGTGCAACGGGGTGGCTCGGGGCTGGAGGGGGGCGGGGGCGGGGGCGGGGGGGGAGAAATAAAAAACTAAGGCGAAGCGCAACCCGGCCAATCGCGACAGCTCGAACCGACAGCATCCACGAAGCCACCGGCACTCCCGCGGCGCGACCGCGGGAGGGAACATTCGGGAGAGGTGACGTTCATATCAAAATCTGGTGGTGTGGTGGGGGCGGTGGGGGTGGGGGTGGGGTGGGGGGATCGAGCCTCAGGTCCATACCGAGCGTGTCAGTATCTGAGCTGAGTCCACGGCACACACACGGCCGTCGTGTAGTTGGCCCTGCAGCCGCCGGGCAGAGGGACGCCGGCGGCGTACGGCGCCGACGGCGGCGCGCCGGAGCCCGCGGTCCCCGGGCAGGCCTGCGGGAGGCCCGCCGGGGCCCGGGCTCCGCCGTGCCCCGGCACGGCCGCCGCCGCCGCCGCCAGGCTGCAGAACAGCGGCATCGCGCGGCCGGCGTCGTCCGAGGAGCCGGGGTGGGGCCCGCCGTCTCTGGACGGGCCGCGCGGGGCGGGCGCGGGCTGCTGCTGGTGCTGCTGCTGGTGCTGCTGCTGGTGCTGCTGCTGGTGCTGCTGGTGCTGGTGGTGGTGCTGCAGGTGGTGGTGGTGGTGCTGGGAGTGCGAAGCGGCCTGAAGCTGGTAAGGGACCTTGGGCGAAAGGAAAAAGCAGAACGGGGGGGGGGGCCAGGTCAGGCGCTGGCAAGGCCGCGATGCCGCGCTCGGCGTGCGTAGCAGCGTCCACCCTCGGCCCCCCGGCAGCCCCGTAGGGTACCCCACCCCGCCTTCCTGGTGCAATCCCTACCCCCCCCCCCCGCCCCCCGCCCCCCCAAGAGAGAGGGGGCTCCTTTGCAGCGGCTGTCAATCCGACGCGACCAAGAGGAGGCGCGTTCGGGTTCATCGCTTAAAATCGACACATTCATTGAATATCTGCATGCCGGCAGACCGTTGGCACGGTGCCGGAGTTTACTTCTCACACCGCTGCCACCAAAGGTTTTTTGCTTCTTTTTTTTCCCCTTCCGCGACCGTGCCGCCCCCTTCGCTCGGCACGACGCCTCGCCCCCCCCCCCCCCACGTGCCTTGGGCTCCACCGCGCTTGCCTTCGTGGGAACGGCGGGCTCCGAGGCATCTCGAGCGTCGGTACCTGGTACGACGGCACCGCCGCTGCGGGGTACTGGAGCAGCAAGCCCTGCAGCTGGGCGCCGTCGTTGCCGTGCTGGGCGCCCGCGGATTGTTGGTGGACGCTCGTCACGCCTTGAAACTGCTGCTGGCTCGGAGGAGGGGGACCCTGGAAACCTGCCGGGCCACGAGGCAAAATATGGTTTGATAAGATAAAAAAAAAAAAAATTGAATCGGCGGCTTTGGGTCGCGAGAACGTCGTCCCTTCCATTCGGGAATGCTGTTCGCGCAACGCGGGACGCGCAGCCGTTAAAACGCGCAGCCGGTAAAACGCGGAACTCGCAACCGGTAAAACGTTTAAAGCGCAACCGTAATAACCGTAATAACGATGAGCGCGTAACCCTTACACCGGTGCTCCGGCGGACATCCAATTCACACGCAACTTTTCGCCGGATCGCACTGTGCATCATTTCTGTTTTTAATGCCGCAGTTAACAGTCGCGAAAAATGTGAAACAGTGCAGTCGTTTAATTGTTTAAGTCGTTGTATATAGTGTACTGGACAGGGGCGGTGACGGGGGTGACATTCTGCGTGTAAGTGTACGACACTCGGTCTGGCGGACTCCGTGCAACTGCGTCGTCAGAGTGTGTCCGCCAACCGATGGCGTCTAAGTTCAACAGCCTGACTCTCTCTAAATCATTCTTGAAATTAAAATTTGTTGAGTGTCACCCCCGGCCTGAAATCCTGGCTCCGCCCCTGCTACTGGATATATAATTGATTTGACGCAAATCAAGCACAGCCACTTATTTTTGTGACGCACGCGGTGCCGATCGCCGGAACCGGCTTACAGCCTTTGGAGCGGTTTCGCCGGTTTCGCTTAATCGGCCCGGGTCCGCCGGATAAAGCTGAAAGCAGCCGGATAATAGCGCCGGTGCCCGGAATAACCGGTGATCAACCGTGTGCAGGCGGTACAGCGGCGGCGGCGTCGTCGTCGACGCGAGCGCCAACGCAGAGCGGAGGCTATAACGGGAACGTGGCGTGCGACCTTTGGACGAGAGTGTGGTGCCGGGGAAAGAGACCGGTTCACTGTGAGAGGAAGCAACACACACTCACAGACAGTGGCACGGCCCCCTGCCCCGGAGGCACGGGGGGGGGGGGGGGGGGGGATATCCCTTGGGGGCGGAGAGGGGAGGATTTCCTCGCGGACAGAAGAGGCCCCCCGGTATATACCGCGGGGTCGAGCGAAGCGGTAATACCGCTAGCCGCGCGGCGAGCTTCGCGCGGCGAAAGATCCCCGTGACGGTGGCTAGGAGATGTTGACTACCTCGCCTGGTACGCAGGAGGTCGTGGGTTCGATCCCAACCATGACGCCTGCTGCTGCTGTATATTTGGAGTTTGCGTGTCTCTCTCTCTCTCTCTCTCACCGCAATTCGTGCGGATTTTTTCTCCGGGCCCTTCTGGAGAAAAATCAACGTGCGTGTAAGCGTGATGTCCACACGATGAAAAGAGCTACACAGCTCAGTGGGGCCTTACCTGGTAAAATAAAATAAAAAAAAACTAACTTAAATAGTTAAGTTTAATCGAGAAGAACAGGCCACGTGTGGCGACGTCACGGTCCCACACACTTGCCAAAGTTTGAAAAGTTACCCGCAAAGCGCAAAACTGTTGTCCTCCCGTCCCACGAAAAAAAAAAGTCTCAAAACTAGGTAAAGTTTTTTTTGCGTAAACAAACGTAATCATTGCAGCCCCCCTCCCCCCCCCCCCCCATCCTTAACCTCCCCCTCCATTCCTTTCAGACGGCCGCAGAAGGTGCATCCGAGAGCGTCTTTGTCCCCTAAAAGCCGCCGCCGCCGCGGCCGCCGCTGCTACGAGGATGAACGGCGTTCGCGTCTTGCGGGCGCGTGGAAGCGTGCGAGCGCGGCGGGGGTATCTCGCCAGACCGTGTGTCTGCGACGGATGCTGCTGCCCTCGCTGCCCTCCGAACTGCGTGGGGGTCGCGGGGCGGCACGACTGCTGCCCCACGAGGCCGAGCTGCCCAGGGGCGTAGACGAAGACGGGAATCTGCAACGGCAGCGAGAGGAAAGCGTTGGCGCGCCTCCCCCCCGCCCGCCCCCGCCCGCCCGCGGCGCGAGCGATGGTGGCAAAGCCGCCGTTTGTGTTCGTAAAGAGGGGGGCAAGGGCCCGTTGGGACGACACGTAACGTATGCGTCGTCGTCGTCGTCAATGCTGCTGCTGCTGCTGCTGAACTTATTTCGCACCATAGGAATAGGTTTTACCCTTTTAACTTGGCACAAAAACTGACACCTTTATTCAAGGCATCATGTTTGCAATAACCACAACACAAGCAGTCAAAATGCAAAACAAAAAAGACAACTCTGATAATGATATTGGCACTGTCCTTGAATTTGATTGGTCCACACCCGAGACAGCTTTTCTTAGAGCCTAGTCTCCATTGGTGTTGGACCAGAAGCCGCCAAAAGGCATACAACTCAAAAACAGCGCACTATCAGAGTATTGAGGGCTCGGGGTGTCTTTTTTGTTTGCATTTTGACTGCTTGTGTTGTGGTTATTGCAAACATGATGCCTTGAATAAAGAAGGTGTCAGTTTTTGTGCCAGTTAAAAGGGTAAAACCTATTCCTATATCTTGTTACTGGCAAAGGAGGTCTCATAATGTAAATGATTTCGCGCCGTACGTAGCCAACCGTGTCAATGGGAGGTGCGATAAGGTCCCTCGCCCCGTCTCCCCGTCGCTTTCACAGGAGGCCTCCGTCACGGCGGCAAGCAGAGCCCACGCGTGATAAAAATGCGAACAAATTTGTCACGTGCACAGCGCCCTACGCCCCCTACCCCACACCCCCCCACCCCACCCCCCCCACCACCGTTAGCAACCGGGCATGGACTATGAAGGCGAAACCCCTCACCATGATTTCCCTGGAACCTTTCCACTCTTTCATGGTTACTCTCAAATGAGCTCTCTCTCTCTCTCCTCTCTGAAAGACGTCAGCGATCACGGCCTCACTTTCATTCGGCGCTGTCCGTAACACAGGGGGTGCTTAAAAATCTGCACACTTCTGAGAATCTGCAACAACACCACAAGCAGTGTGCTGCCTCCGGGACCTGGAGACCACTTGGAGAAGATTCCTGGGCACGCGTTGACAACGCTGGCGGACAAAGTTGGGAGACTCTTCGACTCTTTGAAGCTATGAACATCGCACCCGTTACATCGCGCTAGTGCACTCATGCGTTCTACTTCCATTAAAAAACTATAGTCTCGTAAAAAGTGTTAACATTTTTTTTTTATTTTTAAGCACCCTGTACTCACTCACCAAATTCGCAAATTGCCTCCAATTGTTTCAGCTTTCCCGCGTAACCCCTTCCCCGTGCCGAGACGTCTGCAAGTCGCAGGGTAGGTGGTGTCCCCGTCTCGCCGCTGAATCTCGGAAATCGCGAGCGGTTTGGCGTTCATTTTATTCAGCGAGGCGTCGTCGCAGCGACCCGCCGTCGCTGTTTTTAAAGACGTTGGTGCTCACCGCGGACGACCGCCGCACTCCACGATAACCGGCGCCAACACCGTGCCGCACGCCTCTCCCGCATGGCCCTGTGGGGGCCTTGGTACCGATAAAGTTACCTTATATATTTTTTTACGGTTTCGTTTTCGCCATGTACACCTACGTCCGTCATCGGAACGGAATCGGAAGAAAAGCCGATGACGCACACGCTGGCACGTCATCGGGACGGATCGACTCGCCGTCTCTCCTGCCTTCGTCTGGGGGGACCCCGTAGCGTTCCCGCTCCTAGGCAGGGGCGGAGCCAGGATTTTCAGCCCGGGGTGACATTCAACAAATTTTAATTTCAAGAATGATTTAGAGAGAGTCAGGCCGTTGAGCCAGACGCCATCGGTTGGTGACACGCTCTGACGACGCAGTTGCGCGAGGTTCGCCAGACCGAGTGCCGTACACTTACACGCAGAATGTTTCAGATTTTCGATTTTTTATTTTTTTCTCGGGGGGGGTGACAATTGTCTACCCTGTCACCCACCCCCCCCACCCTGGCTCCTCCCCTGCTCCTAGGAGTCGAGGGCTTTCGTCACATGGCCGGCGGTAGGCGCGGGACTGCAAAGCGAGAGGCGGCGCTCCCGAGCCGTGCCCGCCGGGGGCTCTCTCTCCGGAGGGCGCGGGGCCCTCACCTGCTGCTGGTGCTGCTGCTGGTGCTGCTGCTGCTGCTGCTGCAGCGCGTACACCTGCGGTTGCGCCACGGCCGGGTAGGACGAACCGGCGCCGCCGTAGCCGTTGGGGGTCACGGGCGGCCCCGCCGACGGCGACGCTCCGTAGCCCGTCGGGAGCTGCTGCTGCTGCTGCTGCTGGTGCATTATGGGAGGTGGGTAGGGGGCAGCCGCGGACTCTGGGATTTCGCCGGCAGTGGAGTGGTGGCTCAGGGCGACGTGGCCAAAGTGCAGGCCCAGTTCGTCCTAATTGAAGCAGAGCGATCAATTTAACGACTCGATCGAGCGCATATGCGTACGGCACAAAAGTACATCGCAGCAGCACCACGGTGGCAAGATGTTAACAACCTCGCCTGGTATACAGGAGGTCGTGGGTTCGATCCCGACCCTAACAATGCTTGTATGCTTCGAGTTTGCGTGTTCTCCCCCCGTGGTCACGTGGATTTTTTCTCCGGGTCCTCCGGTTTTTCCCTCCACACCTTAGAATGAACATCACGCCTTTAGAGCATTTGGCCGCTATACATTTCCACACGATTGCAAGCCAATTAGTTGAGCTATCATTTGTGATAGCCAGCTCGCTTCTGAAAAAGACCTATACAGCTCAGTGGGCCTTACCTTGCAAAACGAAAATAGTTTCAGTACTTTTTTTTTGTAAGTTCGGTTAACAATAAGTTTCATCGTAACTCCGAGTAAGCAAGGCAGTTACGGCTCGTAAAGTGGCTAGGAGAAATCTCACGAGGTGGTCAGCGCCGCTTCTAAGTGAACTGTCACCGGTGATAATTCGGAACGGACAATAATTAATGACATCAATCATGAATAACACGAATAAAAAAAACAACACACACATCAAGCACACATCAACATTAGGAACGTTCTAGATTTGCAGCTTTCGTGACTGCAAGGATCCATACTCTTTGGTTCCATTCGGTAAAGTCACGTATGGTAAAAAAACAACAAAAATCACGACGTTTCGGCCACAACACAAGTGGCCTTCATCAGGTGAAGGGACCGTGCCGTCACGAAGACAGCGTTGGAATTCCAACGCTCGTCTTCAACACAAGTGGCCTGATGAAGGCCACTTGTGTTGTGGCCCGAAACGTCGTGATTTTTGTTGTTTTTTTACCAACGTGACTTTACCGAATAGAACCAAAGAGTATGAGGAACGTTAGTAACGTCAACAACGGCAGAGCCCAAGGCATCAAAAAACCATCGCTGGACCTGTACTTCTGTGCTTCCACGCACATCTAAGCGTTCAGCACCATCGCCAACGCGCGCCGCCCGGCGTGGTGAAGTATGCCCACATAACCCCCACTGGTGCGAACGGAACTTTCCCCGACAGTCCGTCGAGGCTGTGCGGGGGGAACCCTTTGTCTGCGTTGCGACGTGAGCGTGCGAGCGTGCCGTGTCGTACCACGCTGTACTGCTGCGGAGGGGAGAAGGACACCACGTGCTGAGAGTAAGGGTGCTGAGCCGACGTTGGAGAAGACGCTTGGCCGTGACTCTGCGAGGCAGACACACTTAGAATTAATCAACGCGTAACGATCATCGCGAATCTTACTGCGACGATGAAAACGTTCCGCAGGGCATCGCCGGCTCCTGCAGAACTGTACCTCGAGGCGCGGTAACGCTCGGACGTGCTCTACGGTTCTTCATTAGGAAAGGCCATGGCGCCGGAAAAGTTTCTTCGTGTGTAGATTTATTTTCTATTATCGTTTCCCTTCGGGTGGCGATGCTGTGGACGAACGTGTGGAGCGTCACTGGCCAATCGCTCAGCAGGACGGACGCAGCGGCAGCTAGCAGGATGAGCTCACCAGTGACATGTGGTGGTGGTGGTGATGGTTGCCCTGAGGCTGATGGTGAGCTGTGGCAAGGATCAGCTGTGACGACTCAGACAGCTGACCCCTGGCTTGCTGCTGCACGGCCGGGGGATTGTAAACCGCTGGGGTACCGTCGGGGTTCAGGAACGGTTGGCCTGGGGGCAAGAGGGAGACGCGGTCGAGAAGTTAGCGACGCACAAAAAACACAGAGACAAAGATCCCCCGTATAGCCTGTAACAGGCGGTTGGGGCAAGTGTTGTCGGCGAGCAGCACCAATGAAGGCACGGCGCACGAGGCGGAGGGTGGCCAGCACCACCGCCCGGCCGCCTTTGCCTCCGTCGTGCCGATGTTAACACACCGCACCAGGTACCCATTTGAGGCTAAGTCGACCTAGGGGAGGCCCTGAACCGATTCAGATATTCGTCACTGGTGTCGGGCGTGAGCGGGAATCGAACTCGGGTCGCCGGGTTCATAGTGCAGCACGCTAACCGCTACACCACCGCTCCCCAACGATGCACACTTGCGCACACACACACACATGCAACAGTTAATTTCGTTAATTAAACCAACCGTGAATGTATTCTTCAACCCACCAATACTACGACCACTATCACCACTAGACTGCGACTAGCCACCAATACCATAAACACCATCGAAGTGGCTTATCATCAAGTTGAAACTTATAGCAGCCAAATACTCTAAACGCATGACGTTGTTGATTCTAAATGTGGAGGGAAAAACTGGAGGACCCGGAGCAAAAATCCACGCCACCGCGGAGAGAAACACACAAACTCCAAATATACAACAGGCATCATCATGGTCGAGATGGAACCCACGGCCTCCTGTGCACCAGGCAAGGCGGTTAACATCTCCTAGCCACCGTGATGATGAGAGAGAGAGAGACATGCCAACTCCAAATATACAGCACCAGGCATCAGGGTCGAGATCGAACCCACAACGTCCTGTATACCAGGCGAGGGAGTTAACATCTCCTAGCCACCGTGATGATGATGAGAGAGAGAGAGACACGCAAACTCCAAATATACAGCAGCAGCAGGCCTCAGGGTCGAGATCGAACCCACGGCCTCCTGCACACCAGGCGAGGGAGTTAACATCTCCTAGCCACCGTGGCGCCCAGGTCTCTCAAAAAACATTTGGAGGCCAAACAAAAAAAAAACACGAAGAAAGCTGCCCACGCCACCCAGCGCGGGCACGAGCGAGCGAGAGCAACGCCCACCGGTCTGCGGATTGACGAGGATGCTCCCAGGAGGGATGCCCATGCTCTCGAGTGGCAGCAGGCAGTAGCTGGGGCCCGCCGGGAAGACCTGGGCTGCTGCCGCCGCCGCTGCGACGGTGGCGGAGTACGAGGGCACGGCGGCTGCGGCGGGTGACCTACGTGGCTGCTGCTGCTGCTGCCCGTGCCGAGTCCGAGCTGGGCACGCCGTGGGGGACGTCCCCACGCTGCTCGGCGAGTCCGAGCCTGGGGACAGCAGCGGCGAGGGGGGGGGGGGGGGGGGGGGCGGCAAGGCCGATAGCGAGAATTCGTGACTCTGCCGCCACGGTGTTAGGGGGCTAACGCGTTCGCGTCCAACGGCTGCCTATGAACTAGGAATAGGTTTGACCCTTTTTAACTGGCACAAAAAACTGACACCTTTATTCAAGGCATCATGTCTGCAATAACCACAACACAAGCAGTCAAAATGCAAAGAAAAAGACAACTCTGATAATAATATGCACTGTCAGAGTTGTCTCTTTTGTTTGCATTTTGACCGCTTGTGTTGTGGTTATTGCAGACATGATGCCTTGAATAAAGGTGTCAGTTTTTTGTGCCAGTTAAAAAGGGTAAAACCTATTACTATATCTTGTTACTGGCAAAGGAGGTCTCTCATAATGCCTATGAACTGTTTTAACAACGACGGCTTTCGCGGCCGGCATCATCCATAAGGGGTGTTTTGGGTTAGGTCGCGTGGATATGAATGTGTCGCTAAACCCGCCACAGCCAATCAGTGAGGTTCGTCACGTGAGCAACGAATTGCCGCTGCTTTTGTTCAAGTGACAAACCTCACCCCCCAAAAAACCTATATTATGCCAACCTTGATTTGAGGCTTTCGTGAGTGTAGGAATTCATTGGTTCTTTCGGTATTTTGTACAGACGTGACTTTGCCCATAGAACTCCAGCGACCTGGCCATCGCTAATGATAGCTCAACGAAGTGGCTAATTGCCATGCGGACATGCACAGCAGCCAAATGCTCTCAACGCACGTCCAGCGTCACTGTGCGGGGGGAAAACCGGAGGACCCGGAGCAAAAATCCACGTGAACCTTGGCCCGCGAAAGCGTACCACACAGCGGCAAAACCACGCGGGAGCAGCGCTAACGCAGAGGAAGCTTCCGAATCAGTATCTTTATTTCTACTTGCAGGAGGAATCCGATGAGCTATGAAGCTCTTTTTTCACAGATGTCCAGTAAGGGCACGGGCTAAGAACGTTCCAACAACAAACAGTAACAAAAACACGCTAGCAGTGTAGAGTATAAGGCAAACAAATCACCCAAACACAAACAAATGCAATAAGACCATCCCGACCCTACCAGGCACAGTCCACTGAGCTATTAATTTTTTCCGAAGCAACCTTGGCACAAATTATAGCTCAACAAAGTGGCTTTTCATTTCGACATTTATCTAACATATGAAGCTCTTTCTCACACACAGACGTCCAACAACAAGGAATACAAAAAATGCACGATAGGAGTGCAATGTATAGGAAAGGTAGACAAATAACTCACGAAAACTGCCTACGAATAAAACTTAACTATTTGTTTTGTCATCTTACCAGGTAAAAGCCCACTGAGATATCAGCTTATTATTTTTCAGAAGTGACCTGCCCACAAATGACAGCAGCTCAACAAAAGCGGCCCATTATTTGAACATTTGTAGCATTGGGTCGAGGGGAGGTCGGGGCGGGGGGGGGGGGGGGGTGGGGGGGGGGGGGGGGTGGGCCCTCTCACCCGCGTTGGCCAGACCCCCGTGGCTGTCTCCGCGCATCAGCACGGCGGAGATGCCGCTGAAGCTGCTGGCCTTGACGACGGCGGGCCGGCGGGCCGGCGCCGGCCCGGCGTGCGAGCTCTCCGAGTCGGTACTGCTCCACGGCCGAGGCCCCCAGCGGCGAGGTGGGGTGCCGCTGCCGCCGCCGCCGCCGCCGCCGCAATCCGTCTCCGTACTGCTCTGCCAGCTGCCCGAGCCGCCCAGGCCGCCGCCTTCGCCGCTGCTGCTGCCGCCACCGCCGCTGCCGTCTCGGTGGCTCCTAAGGCCCGCGGTGGGGGAGGGGGGGGGGGGGGGCGCCGTCGTCATTGCGGGTGGTAGAGAGGGCTAGAGAGCGCTAGAGAGTGACAGAGAGTGATAGAGAGTGATAGAGAGGGCTAGAGAGTGATAGAGAGTGATAGAGAGGGCTAGAGAGTGATAGAGAGCGCTAGAGAGTGACAGAGAGTGATAGAGAGTGATAGAGAGCGATAGAGACCTAGAGAGAGTGATAGAGCATGATAGAGAGTGATAGAGAGCGCTAGAGAGTGACAGAGAGTGATAGAGAGTGATAGAGAGGGCTAGAGAGTGATAGAGAGTGATAGAGAGTGATAGAGAGTGATAGAGAGTGACAGAGAGTGACAGAGAGCGATAGAGAGCGATAGAGAGCGACAGAGAGTGACAGAGAGCGATAGAGAGCGATAGAGAGCACTAGAGAGTGACAGAGAGTGATAGAGAGTGATAGAGAGCGACAGAGAGTGACAGAGAGCGATAGAGAGCGATAGAGAGCGACAGAGAGCGATAGAGAGCGATAGAGAGCGATAGAGAGTAATAGAGAGCGACAGAGAGCGACAGAGAGCGACAGAGAGCTAGAGAGCTAGAGAGCGATAGAGAGCGATAGAGAGTGATAGAGAGCGATAGAGAGTGATAGAGAGCGATAGAGAGTGATAGAGAGCGACAGAGAGCGACAGAGAGCGACAGAGAGCGACAGTGAGCTAGAGAGCTAGAGAGCGATAGAGAGTGATAGAGAGCGACAGAGAGCGACAGAGAGTGATAGAGAGCGATAGAGAGTAATAGAGAGCGACAGAGAGCGACAGAGAGCTAGAGAGCTAGAGAGCGATAGAGAGCGATAGAGAGTGATAGAGAGCGATAGAGAGCGATAGAGAGTAATAGAGAGCGACAGAGAGCGACAGAGAGCGACAGAGAGCGACAGAGAGCGACAGAGAGCGATAGAGAGCGACAGAGAGCGATAGAGAGTGACAGAGAGCGACAGAGAGCGACAGAGAGCTAGAGAGCTAGAGAGCGATAGAGAGTGATAGAGAGCGCTAGAGAGAGCGATAGAGAGCGACAGAGAGCGACAGAGAGCGATAGAGAGCGACAGAGAGTGATAGAGAGCGATAAAGAGCGATAGAGAGCGATAGAGAGTGATAGAGAGTGATAGAGAGCGACAGAGAGCGACAGAGAGCGATAGAGAGCGACAGAGAGTGATAGAGAGCGATAAAGAGCGATAGAGAGCGATAGAGAGTGATAGAGAGTGATAGAGAGCGACAGAGAGCGACAGAGAGCGACAGAGAGCGACAGAGAGCTAGAGAGCTAGAGAGCGATAGAGAGCGATAGAGAGTGATAGAGAGCGATAGAGAGCGATAGAGAGTGATAGAGAGTGATAGAGAGCGACAGAGAGCTAGAGAGCTAGAGAGCGATAGAGAGTGATAGAGAGCGACAGAGAGCGACAGAGAGCGACAGAGAGCGACAGAGAGCGACAGAGAGCTAGAGAGCTAGAGAGCGATAGAGAGTGATAGAGAGCGCTAGAGAGAGCGATAGAGAGCGACAGAGAGCGATAGAGAGCGACAGAGAGCGATAGAGAGCGACAGAGAGCGATAGAGAGCGACAGAGAGTGATAGAGAGCGATAGCGAGCGACAGAGAGTGATAGAGAGTGATAGAGAGCGATAAAGAGCGATAGAGAGCGATAGAGAGTGATAGAGAGTGATAGAGAGCGATAGAGAGCGACAGAGAGCGATAGAGAGCGACAGAGAGCGATAGAGAGCGATAGAGAGCGACAGAGAGTGATAGAGAGTGATAGAGAGCGACAGAGAGCGATAGAGAGTGATAGAGAGCGACAGAGAGCGATAGAGAGCGACAGAGAGCGATAGAGAGCGACAGAGAGCGATAGAGAGCGACAGAGAGCGATAGAGAGCGATAGAGAGCGATAGAGAGCGACAGAGAGGGATAGAGAGCGACAGAGAGCGATAGAGAGCGATAGAGAGCGATAGAGAGTGACAGAGAGCGATAGAGAGCGACAGAGAGCGATAGAGAGCGACAGAGAGTGATAGAGAGCGATAGAGAGCGACAGAGAGTGATAGAGAGTGATAGAGAGCGATAGAGAGTGATAGAGAGCGATAGAGAGCGACAGAGAGTGATAGAGAGCGACAGAGAGCGACAGAGAGTGATAGAGAGCGACAGAGAGTGATAGAGAGAGATAGAGAGCGACAGAGAGTGATAGAGAGCGATAGAGAGCGATAGAGAGTGACAGAGAGTGATAGAGAGCGACAGAGAGTGATAGAGAGCGACAGAGAGTGATAGAGAGTGATAGAGAGCGATAGAGAGTGACAGAGAGCGACAGAGAGTGATAGAGAGCGATAGAGAGCGATAGAGAGCGATAGAGAGCGATAGAGAGCGACAGAGTGATAGAGAGTGATAGAGAGCGATAGAGAGCGACAGAGAGCGATAGAGAGCGACAGAGAGTGATAGAGAGTGATAGAGAGTGATAGAGAGCGACAGAGAGTGATAAAGAGTGATAGAGAGTGATAGAGAGCGACAGAGAGCGACAGAGAGTGATAGAGAGCGACAGAGAGCGACAGAGAGTGATAGAGAGCGACAGAGAGTGATAAAGAGTGATAGAGAGTGATAGAGAGCGACAGAGAGCGATAGAGAGCGACAGAGAGTGATAGAGAGCGATAGAGAGCGATAGAGAGCGACAGAGAACGAGAGAGCGATAGAGAGCGATAGAGAGTGATAGAGAGCAACAGAGAGCGATAGAGAGCGATAGAGAGCGATAGAGAGTGATAGAGAGCGACAGAGAGTGATAGAGAGCGACAGAGCGACAGAGAGTGATAGAGAGCGACAGAGCGACAGAGAGTGATAGAGAGCGATAGAGAGCGATAGAGAGTGATAGAGAGCGACAGAGAGTGATAGAGAGCGACAGAGCGACAGAGAGTGATAGAGAGCGATAGAGAGTGATAGAGAGTGATAGAGAGAGATAGAGAGCGACAGAGAGTGATAGAGAGCGACAGAGAGCGACAGAGAGTGATAGAGAGCAATAGAGAGTGATAGAGAGTGATAGAGAGCGACAGAAAGTGATAGAGAGCGATAGAGAGCGACAGAGAGCGACAGAGAGGGATAGAGAGCGATAGAGAGCGATAGAGAGCGATAGAGAGTGATAGAGAGTGATAGAGAGTGATAGAGAGCGATAGAGAGCGACAGAGAGCGACAGAGAGTGATAGAGAGTGATAGAGAGCGACAGAGAGCGACAGAGAGTGATAGAGAGTGAAAGAGAGCGACAGAGAGCGACAGAGAGTGATAGAGAGTGATAGAGAGCGACAGAGAGCGACAGAGAGTGATAGAGAGCGATAGAGAGCGATAGAGAGTGATAGAGAGTGATAGGGAGAGATAGAGAGTGATAGAGAGCGATAGAGAGCGACAGAGAGTGATAGAGAGCGACAGAGAGTGATAGAGGGCGACAGAGAGTGATAGAGAGCGATAGAGAGCGACAGAGAGTGATAGAGAGCGACAGAGAGTGATAGAGAGAGATAGAGAGTGATAGAGAGCGATAGAGAGTGATAGGGAGAGATAGAGAGTGATAGAGAGCGATAGAGAGCGACAGAGAGTGATAGAGAGCGACAGAGAGTGATAGAGAGTGATAGAGAGCGATAGAGAGTGATAGAGAGCGACAGAGAGTGATAGAGAGAGATAGAGAGCGATAGAGAGCGACAGAGAGCGATAGAGAGCGACAGAGAGTGATAGAGAGAGATAGAGAGCGATAGAGAGCGACAGAGAGCGACAGAGAGTGATAGAGAGCGACAGAGAGCGACAGAGAGTGATAGAGAGCGATAGAGAGCGATAGAGAGCGATAGAGAGCGACAGAGAGCGACAGAGCGATAGAGAGCGACAGAGAGCGACAGAGAGTGATAGAGAGCGACAGAGAGTGATAAAGAGTGATAGAGAGTGATAGAGAGCGATAGAGAGCGATAGAGAGCGATAGGGAGCGATAGAGAGCGATAGAGAGTGATAGAGAGCAACAGAGAGCGATAGAGAGCGATAGAGAGCGATAGAGAGCGACAGAGAGTGATAGAGAGTGATAGAGAGCGATAGAGAGCGACAGAGAGTGATAGAGAGCGACAGAGAGTGATAGAGAGTGATAGAGAGCGATAGAGAGCGACAGAGAGCGACAGAGAGTGATAGAGAGCGACAGAGAGTGATAGAGAGCGATAGAGAGTGATAGAGAGTGATAGAGAGAGATAGAGAGCGACAGAGAGTGATAGAGAGCGACAGAGAGCGACAGAGAGTGATAGAGAGCGACAGAGAGTGATAGAGAGTGATAGAGAGCGATAAAGAGCGACAGAGAGTGATAGAGAGGGATAGAGAGTGATAGAGAGCGATAGAGAGCGATAGAGAGCGATATAGAGCGATAGAGAGTGATAGAGAGCGATAGAGAGCGACAGAGTGATAGAGAGTGATAGAGAGCGATAGAGAGCGACAGAGAGCGACAGAGAGGGATAGAGAGTGATAGAGAGCGATAGAGAGCGATAGAGAGCGATAGAGAGCGATAGAGAGCGACAGAGAGCGATAGAGAGCGACAGAGAGTGATAGAGAGCGACAGAGAGCGATAGAGAGCGATAGAGAGCGATAGAGAGCGACAGAGAGCGATAGAGAGTGATAGAGAGAGTGATAGAGAGTGATAGAGAGTGATAGAGAGCAATAGAGAGAGCGACAGAGAGCGACAGAGAGCGACAGAGAGCGACAGAGAGCGCTAGAGAGTGATAGAGAGCGATAGAGAGCGATAGAGAGTGATAGAGAGCGATAGAGAGCGATAGAGAGCGATAGAGAGCGACAGAGAGCGACAGAGAGCGACAGAGAGTGATAGAGAGCGATAGAGAGCGATAGAGAGAGCGACAGAGAGCGACAGAGAGCGACAGAGAGCGACAGAGAGTGATAGAGAGTGATAGAGAGCGATAGAGAGCGATAGAGAGCGATAGAGAGCGACAGAGAGCGATAGAGAGCGACAGAGAGCGACAGAGAGCGACAGAGAGTGATAGAGAGTGATAGAGAGTGATAGAGAGAGCGACAGAGAGCGACAGAGAGCGACAGAGAGCGATAGAGAGCGACAGAGAGTGATAGAGAGTGATAGAGAGCGATAGAGAGCGATAGAGAGCGATAGAGAGCGACAGAGAGCGACAGAGAGCTATAGAGAGCGATAGAGAGCGACAGAGAGTGATAGAGAGTGATAGAGAGCGATAGAGAGCGATAGAGAGCGATAGAGAGTGACAGAGAGCGACAGAGAGCGATAGAGAGCGACAGAGAGCGATAGAGAGCGACAGAGAGCGCTAGAGAGAGCGCCAGCGGCGCCCCTGACTGTCGGCGTCCGTCGAGCATCGCGGCTCGACGCTGGCTCGTGACGCACGGACAGGCCCGAGGACTCTCCGTCACAACACAAGCAACCGTCACAACACCAGGGACCGACAGCACCAGGGCTCACCGGAACATCTGCCTCCGCTTCTGCGTGCTGGATAAAGGCGACGGCTCTTGGATCCTGGGGGGGGGGAACATGACGATCGCCGGTTCAGCTGACCGACCGATCTCCGCGTCGACTGCAAACCCCCCCCCCCCCGAGCGTACTTCAGCGGAGTCAAGATCCACGTAAACTCGACTTTTTCCCCCCCCCCCCCGTGCTTTTCGTTGGCGCGCCCTTCAAACGGCCGGGCGACATCCCGCTTCGCGTGCGGCGCGACCCAAACGCTCGCGCGGATCAACAGCAGCGGTTGCAGTCGATTGAGAACATTGCTTTCGCAGCGAGGCAAGGCGATCGCCGATCACGTGCGGCAAGGTGCCATTTTCGGAGCCTGCAGTAGTTTCGCAGGACGTTGTGGAGGGTGGATGGAGTGCGGGGGGGGGCGATGATTTGCTGCCGTGGGCAATCCCGACAGAGAGCGTCGCGCCGCGTCAATTAATCGAATTTGCTCTTAAACGCGCGACGTTGATTCTAAATGTGGAGGGGAAAAATCCATGCAAGCACAGGAAGAGAGCCATGCAAACTCGAAGTATACGGACGGCAGGCGTCAGGGTCAGGATCGAACCCCACGACCTCCTGTACCTCTATGGGATCTCAGTAACTCTGTGGATCTCCACGAATCTCTACGTAACTCGCAGCAAAATGATGGAAAGCGTCCCTCGGAAACCAGAGAGCCTCCGTGACGACCGGCACAAGGCGCCCCCCCCCGTGGCCCTGGACTCTCAAGTCAAGCACTCGCAGACCATTACTCGTAGTCTCGGTCTCGCAGTCCAGGACTCGCAGTCCCCCAGGAGACCGCGTACCCCGGTTGAGAACCGCCGTTCAAGAGAGTCCCCAATAGAGGGTATCTTGCCAACTCTTCCACACTGGCCGGACTCTCAGTCCAGGTCTCAAAACATCTCCTCGACGTTGACATGAAGGGAGTTTTTTGCAACGTTTCAGAATCATAATCCGAGGTTTTTTTTTTACTCATACTGGAGGAATCCGATGAGCTATAAAGCTCTTTTTCCACAAACGTCCAGCATTTCACCGGTGTCCAGCAAACCGCTGCACCACCGCCACCCCTCCCCCCCCACCCCCCCTACCCCCCACCCCCCCCCCAGCCCCCCCCATCGGCTCTGCGACCACAGGAGGCGCGGATTCGTCGAAGTGAAACGATCGACAGCAAGGCTCACCTGATCTCCGCGAGACGATATTCCGGAGCCGAGGGCTGCTGCGGCGACACGCACACATCCCAAACACATGAGCCGGACACACCACGCCACGCTCACAGTATGATACGGCCTGCATCAAGCAGGGCTAGAACATGGCCGATGGTGATAAGCCCTTCACACAGTAGTGGCTAGACCATGCACGGCGATGATGACGACGATGATGCTTATGACGATCATGATAACACCTTCATCTAGCAGTGGCCGGATCATGGCTCACAATGACATGGCCCTCATCTAGCAATTAACAGAGCATGGCTAACGAAGCTAAGCCCTTCGTCTGCTCATGGATGCTGATGATCACGACCGTGATCATGATTATGACGAACAGTGGCTTGATGATTGATGGTGACGTTCGCGACGACAATTTGCAACGTGCTTGCGGGGTGGGTGGGTGGGTGGGTGGGCCCGCGCCGATGCTGCCGGCATTATTATCCCCGGGACGGCGCCACGGCGGCTCACCTTCCTCTCCTCCTGCTCCGCGCCGTCCCCGTCGCGCTTCGGCACCATGCGCTTGGGGGCCTCCGCGCTGGGGCCCTCCTCCGTGAAGTGCTCGTTAAACGCCTGCTCCGGACTGAGACGCACGGACGCGGCCACGCACCCACACAGCCACCACGCACGCCTTCGATAAGGGCAGGGTATGCCCGTCTCCCACGGTCGGTCCTGCGGCGCGTCGATCCACGCGGGAAGCCGCAACACCACCGGAGGCTCGACCACACGCCCAAGCATGCCGAGCCACGGACGTGTATACCCCCGCGTAGGCCTGTTATCGGTTTCAAGGAGCGTTCGACTGCAAGTTAGGGCAAGCACGTACCGATATCCAGAGGTCGTCGGGTTTTGTTTTGATCTCCCAGTGCATCAGTTGAAAACAAGGAGGGCGATTGTCTTAAATGCCCCGCCCCCTAGTGTCCACCCAGGACACTGTTCTGGCGAGATGTTAACTACCTCGCCTGGTATATACAGGAGGTCGTGAGTTTGATCCCGACCCTGGCGCCTGCTGCTGTATATTTGGAGTTTGCGTCTGTCTCCCGCTCTCTCCCCCCGTGGCCGCGTGGATTTTTATCCGGGTCCTCCGTTTTTTCCCCTCCACGTTTAGAAACGATGTCACCATGCGCTCAGGAGTATTTTGGCCTACCGCTATGAATTTCCGCACGGCGACGACGATAAGCCCACTTCGCTGGGCTACCATTTGCGACGGCCAGGTTGATTCTCTGAAAATAAAGCTACACAGCAGTTCGGTGTGGGCATTACCTGGCAAAAAATAAAAAAAAATAAAGTTTAGATCTTGATTTAAAGCTTTCGTGACTGCAGGAATCCATACTCTTTGGGTCTTTCGGTAAAGTCACGTGGATAGAAAAATAATAGATCGCGACGTTTCGATCGGAACACAGGCAACAATCACCTAAAGACGATTGCCTGTGCAGCGACCGAAACGTCGTGATACATTATTTTTCCATCTACGTGACTTTACCGAAAGACCCCAAAAAAATAGTTCAGGTTAAGCAGTTGCAGTAAAAAAGTAAAACAGCGAACGCCTCCACCACCACCACCACCGTACCCGCCACCGCGGCGCGGCACGGCGCGGCAAGCTCACATGCGCGTGCCGGGCGTCTTGTTGACCACGACGGCCTTCCCCGTCTGGTCCACGTTGTGGTCCATGCCGAAGTACGCGGCCACGCGGTGCACCAGCATGCGGTGGTACGACGTCATCTGCGGGAACTTCTTGTACTGGCTGGTGGGTGGGGAGGGGGGGGGGGGTTCAGTTAGGGTGGGATGGGGGGGGGCAGGGTGGGGGGTTACGGTGGGGGGTTAGGGCGGGGGGGTTTGAGTGGGGGGCAGGGTGGGGGGTTAGGGTGGGGGGCAGTGTGGTGGGGTTAGGATGGGGGTAGGGAGGGCGGACAGCAAGGTTGAGAGGGCACCATGATTGACGTGTTCATAAAAACAAATCGCAAACGACTTTTCCCAGTCGCCAAGAGGTAATGACGGTCAAGGTACAGCCCCGGCAGCTGCTACGCTCACGCCACTGCCGGCGGAAGGGGCCTCCCAGTGGAGTTGAACGCGACCGGACGCGTTGGAAGAGGCGAGTGTGCGACTCGCACCTTGCTCCACCACGCACGACGTGACGTGACTGACGCGGTCGGCTTCAATTTTGAAGGGCCCTGAAATTTGAACGGACCGCTAAAAGTCCCCTTTGTCAGCGTAGTGGCACAGCGATGGCTGCTGGCGGAAAAGGTCAGCTGCGGTGTACGGCAGCACTGACGTCAGCAGGCCACGATAGACACGAGAGGCGGACAATCTAGGGGGGAAAGGTCACAGAGGGGGGCCCGTCGGGAAGCCTCGGGAGCCCGCGAGAAGGTTCCAGAGAGGGGGGCGTGGCCGGGGCTAGCAACAGTACTAGTGTGTACCCACGTGGTGTTGTGTATAGGCTAGCAACAGTGATAATGTGTACCCACGTAGTGTTGTGTATAGGCTAGCAACAGTAATAGTGTGTACCCACGTGGTGTTGTGTATAGGCTAGCAACATTGATAGTGTGTACCCACGTAGTGTTGTGTATAGGCTAGCAACAGTAATAATGTGTACCCACGTGGTGTTGTGCATAGGCTAGCAACAGTAATAGTGTGTACCCACGTAGTGTTGTGTATAGGCTAGCAACAGCAATAGTGTGTACCCACGTGGTGTTGTGTATAGGCTAGCAACAGTAATAGTGTGTACCCACGTGGTGTTGTGTATAGGCTAGCAACAGTAATAGTGTGTACCCACGTGGTTTTGTGTATAGGCTAGCAACAGTAATAGTGTGTACCCACGTGGTGTTGTGTATAGGCTAGCAACAGTAATAGTGTGTACCCACGTGTTTTTGTGTATAGGCTAGCAACAGTAATAGTGTGTACCCACGTGGTGTTGTGTATAGGCTAGCAACAGTAATAGTGTGTACCCACGTGGTTTTGTGTATAGGCTAGCAACAGTACTCGTGTGTGCCCACGTGGTTTTGTGTATAGGCTAGCGACAGTACTAGTGTGTACCCACGGAGGGTGTGTATTATCCCGATGGTGCTCGTTAAATAAAAGTCTTACCGCCTCCGAGTTCAGTCACCACATAAGGATGACTCACGCGTAGACTCTGATTCACATGCACGTGTGTGTACGTGTGTATACGTCTGTGTACGTGTGTGTACGTCTGTGCACGTGTGTGTACGTGTGTGCACCTGTGTGCACGTCTGTGTACGTCTGTGTACGTGTGTGTACGTCTGTGCACGTGTGTGTACGTCTGTGCACGTCTGTGTACGTGTGTGTACGTCTGTGTACGTGTGTATACGTGTGTGTACGTGTGTACTTGCGTGTACGTCTGTGCACGAGTGTGTACGTCTGTGCACGTGTGTGTACGTCTGTGTACGTCTGTGCACGTGTGTGCACGTGTGTGCACGTGTGTGTACGTGTGTGCACGTCTGTGCACGTGTGTGTACGTGTGTGTACGTCTGTGCACGTGTGTGTACGTGTGTGTACGTCTGTGTACGTGTGTGTACGTCTGTGTACGTGTCTATACGTGTGTGTACGTGTGTGTACGTCTGTGTACGTGTGTGTACGTCTGTGTACGTGTCTATACGTGTGTGTACGTGTGTGTACGTGTGCGTGGTAGTGCAGTGGTTCGAGCGCTGCGCTAAGAATCTGGAAACCCGAGTTCGATTCCCGCTCATGGCCAACACCGGTGACGATTATCTGAACCGGTCCTGGGCCTCCCCTAGCTCGACTCAGCCTCAAATGAGTACCCAGTGCGATGTGTATACGTCGCCACCGGGGAGACAAAGGCGGCCGGGCGTGGTGCTGGCCACCCACCCCCTCGTGTGCCGTTCCGGCCTTCATAGGGTGCTGCTCGCTAACAGCACTTGCCCCTAGCAGTCTGCTAAGGCTACACGGGGGATCTTTGTCTCTGTGTATCTGGCCGGCAGGGAAGCGTTTGCCGCAAGGGCCAGGCATCGGGGAATGTGATAAGTCTCTTGTCTTTTCTCGAATCTGATCGATTATATGGGGCCCATGGTATCCGATACGGGCACCGATATTCACATTAATTATTGACGGGGACCGACCCTCAACTTTTGTGTTCCCTCCACCGCCGTTCATGTCGACCCGTGCAGACACACAACATGTTAGAGAGATTATTTTTTGTTCCTTCTTCAACATTCCGGGGCTACACTCGCACGCTACGCCTCTAAACGACAACATCGCGGCGTCGACGCACCCCCCCCACACCCCCCACACCCCCCACACCCCCCCACACCCGACCAACAAACTTAGTAAGCAATAATAATAATTGTTATTTTGTCAACGTGGTAGGCGCGCTATGCTCACGTCGCAAGGCAATGCGTGCTATGTGGGGGGGGGAGGGGGGGGAGGGAGGGATCGAGTCATTTGCGTCATCAACTTTTCACAACTTTTCTAAATTTGGCCAGCGAACGCGGCGCAAAACTGCTCAACTCCGTAGGTTAAGGGCGGCACGGTGGCTAGGAGATGTTAACTACCTCGCCTGGTACACAGATGGTCGTGGGTTCGATCCCGACCCTGACGTCTGCTGTATATTTGGAGTTTGCGTGTCTCTCTCATCATCATCACGGTGGCTAGGAGATGTTAACTACCTCGCCTGGTACACAGATGGTCGTGGGTTTGATCCCGACCCTGACGTCTGCTGTATATTTGGAGTTTGCGTGTCTCTCTCTCATCATCATCACGGTGGCTAGATGTTAACTACCTCGGCTGGTACACAGATGGTCGTGGGTTCGATCCCGACCCTGACGTCTGCTGTATAGTTGGAGTTTGCGTGTCTCTCTCTCTTCATCATCACGGTGGCCAGGAGATGTTAACTACCTCGCCTGGTATACAGGAGGTCGTGTGTCTGTTCCAGCCCCTGATGCCTGCTGCTGTATATTTGGAGTTTGCGTGTCTCTCTCTCATCATCATCACGGTGGCTAGGAGATGTTAACTAACTCGCCTGGTATGCAGATGGTCGTGGGTTCGATCCCGACCCTGACGCCTGCTGTATATATTTGGAGTCTGCGTGTCTCTCTCTCTCTCATCATCATCATTGTGGCTAGGAGATGTTAACTACCTCGCCTGTGATGCAGGAGGTCGTGTGTCTGTTCCAGACCCTGATGCCTGCTGTATATTTGAAGTTTGCGTGTTCTTCAGAAAGGGTTTTATCAGAAAGGGTTTTATTCGCCATGTAAGTTCACACCGACACGGAATTTACTTTGGCAGGATGGTGCATACATTCAACATATAGGAATCTAAAATCTTAAATAAGTTTTAAACAAGTCTTACTATAATAAGGGTTAAAAGTCTAACACCAAGGGGCTGAAGTATATAAAATTAAATAAATATCGAATATCAAATAGCTTTAAGATATAATTTAAAAATAAAAAATACAAATAGGGTAACATAGTTAATATCCTCAAGGTGTCATTATGTAGATCAAATGTTAAAAACAGTGTTAGCCCTTGGCCTTGTTTAACAGGCCAGCAGCAGATGGGAAGAAACTGTTTTTATGGCGTGAGGTTTTGGTGGTGGCGTGGATTTTTCTCTGGGTCCTCTAAAATGTTAACTACCTCGCCTGGTATGCAGGAGGCCGTGGGTTCGTTCCCGACACTGACGCCTGCTGCTGTATATTTGGAGTTTTGCGCGTCTCTCTTCCCGTGGTCTCTTGGATTTTTCTCCGGGTCCTTCGGCTTTCCCTCCACATTTAGAAACATGCGGTACAGAGTATTTAGCTGCTATAAATTTCCAGGTAATAGGCCACTTTGTTGAGCTATCATTTGTGATTGCCAGGTCGCTTGTGAAAAAAAGCTGCAAAAGCTCAGTGGACCTTACCTGGTAAAATCTAAAAAAGTTCTTATTAATACACCGCGCAGTAATAACCAGGGCCACATCCCCGATTCTAACCGCGATATCTCTGCAACGATATCTTTTCCTTCCAATATTAGGAAGCCACGGGGAGCTACACACTTATAAATCTAGATTTTTAAAAACTCGATCTTTAGAACTGCTTTTTGTGTGTTCATTTTGTTGTCCTTCCCCCGGCACGGTTGGTTACGTGCGGTGCGAAATAAGTTCAACATACATACATAGACTCACAAAGAGACCCATAGACCCACACCGAGAAACCATAGACTCACAGAGAGACCCATAGACTCACACAGAGACCCATAGACTCACACAGATACCCACAGACTCACACAGAGACCCATAGACTCACACAGAGACCCACAGACTCACACAGAGACACGCAGACTCACACAGAGACCCACAGACTCACACAGAGACCCACAGACTCACACAGAGACACATAGACTCACACAGAGACCCACAGACTCACACAGAGACCCGTAGACTCACACAGGGACACATAGACTCACACACAGAGACGTACGTATACATACGACGAGCTGAGCCAAGCCAGGTCCTGAGTTCAGTGCTCCCTGCAATCGGCACGAATGGGCCCGAGATGCACGGGTCTGTGTGTGTGTGTATGTCGGACCTCTTTCGCACCGTACGTAGCCGACCGTGCGAATTGGAGGTCTTCTTGCGTGTCGCCAGAGTGGGGCTCGGTAAAAAGGGTGAAAAAAAATAAAGAGAGCAAAGCACCGCACGGACGGATTGCTCACGCTGCATGTCAGAACTCACGTCGCATCGTGAATGAAGTCAATCAGCTCCTGCTCCAGCTTCAGCAACATGATTCTGTCCCTGGGGGCGGAGGAGAGAGATTGAGTCACAGCTGTTAGCTTCAACGGGTATGGAGTATGATCTGTGATCTGAAGCTTTCGTGACTGCAGGAATTCATATTACTCTGTGGTTCTGTCGGTAAAGTCACGTAGTTAGAAATAAAATAAAATAAAAACAAATCACGACGTTTCGATTGCGACACAAGCAATCATCATCAGGTGGAGAAAACTACAGCAAGAAAAACAATCCTGCTGTGGTTTTCTCACCTGATGATTATTGCTTGTGTTGTAATCGAAACGTCGTGATTTAAAAAAAAATTCTATTTCTAACCACAGTAAAACCTTGGATTGCGAGTAACTTGGTCTGCGAGTGTTTTGCAAGACGAAGCAAACATTTTAAATAAATATTAATTTGATAAACGAGCGAGGGTCTTGCAATACGAGTAGTGTACGTGTAGTACACTTTGTCTGCCGAGCGTCACGTGATCACAACTGATGTACGAGTGCTTTGATGTACGAGTGCCCTTGGATTACAAACACGTTTCCGGAACGAATTACGCTCGCAGTCCAAGGTTTTACGGCACATGACTTTACCGAACGAACCAAAAAGTATGGGTATGGAGTATTTTTTTTATATTTTACCAGGTAAGGCCCATTGAGCTAAGCAGCTCGTTTAACAGCTGCGACCTTGCCACAAATGGCAGCTCAACAAAGGCGGCTAACAGTGTGGAAATTTACAGCAGCCAAATCATCTGAAGCGCACGTTGATTCTAAAGGTGGAGGGGAAAACCGGAGGACCCGGAGAAAAATCCACGTGACCACAAGGAGAGAGAGTGAGAGAGAACACGCAAACTCCAAATACACAGCAGGCATCAGTCGGGATCGAACCCACGACCTGCTGCATACCAAGCGAGGTAGTTAACATCTTGGAGGACTTGCGGAAAAATCCACGCGACCACGGGGAGAACATGCCAACTCCACATATACAACAAGCATCATCAGGGTCGGGATCGAACCCATGACCTCCTACATTCCAGGCGAGGTAGTTAACATCTAGGAGAACCCGGAGAAAAATCCACACGCCCACAGGGAGAGAAGGAATATGCAAACTCCAAAGATACAGCCGGTGTCAAGGTCGGGGTCGAACCCACGTCCTCCTGCATACTAGGCGAGGCAGTTAACTTTTCACTTAAAGCTTTCGTGACTGCAGGAATTAATATTCTCTGGGTCTTTCGGTGGTAAAGCCACGTAGACAGAAAAAAATAATAAAAATATCACGACGTTTCGACCGCAACACAATCGTCATCAGGTGAAATGTGATATTTTTATTATTTTTTCTATCTACGTGGCTTTACCGAAAGACCCAAAGAATAAGAGTTAGTTAACATTTCGCCACCACGGCGCCAGCGTAACTCGAGTGGGGGCATCTGCACCGGCGGAAGGGGGTCGTGCGGTGACTCTCACCTCGGGCTGCTCTTGAGCGTGTTCACCAGGAACTCGTGAACATCGATCCCCGTCGAGTCCGTGTAGTCCTGGCTCGAGTCTGCGGAGAGAAGAATGAAGACTCAAGACTTTGCTTCAGTCGGCGGAGGCCGCGTCGGCCTAAGCAGCTCCGTCACGAGGCCGGTCAACGGCACAAGGCCGTCAGCAGTGGCGGCAGTTATGCAGAGTTTCATAGAGATCCGTAGAGTTACACAGAGACTCAAGAGACCACAGGCCAAGACAGTGGCCTTAGTTACGTAGTTTTATAAAGATCCACAGGCCACGGTTTGCCCGTCCTGAAATCATTGCCCGTCCTGAAATCATTGCCGATTGATTTAAACTATTTTTTTTATTTTACCAGCTATATAGATATTTTTTTTCAGAAGCGACCTGGCTATCACAAATGATAGCCCAACGAAGCGGGCTTATCACGCGGTAATTGATAGCAGCCAAATACTCTAAACGCGTGACGTCGATTCGAAATGTGGAGGGAAAAACCGGAGGGCCCGGAGAAGATCCATGCGACCACAGTGAGAGAGACACGCAAACTCCAAATACACAGCAGGCGTCGGGGTCGGGATCGAACCCACGGCCTACTGCATACAGGCGAGGTAGTTAACATCTCCTAGCCATCGTGATGATGAGAGAGAGAGAGACACGCAAACTCCAAATATACAGCAGCAGGCGTCAGGGTTGGGATCGAACCCACGGCCTACTGCATACCAAGCGAGGTTGTTAACATCTCCTAGCCACCATGGTGATGATGATGATGAGAGAGACACGCAAACTCCAAATACACAGCAGACGTCAGGGTCGGGATCGAACCCACGACCTACTGCATACCAGGCGAGGTAGTTAACATCTCCTAGCCACCGTGGTGATGATGAGAGGGAGAGACACGCAAACTCCAAATACACAGCAGGCGTCAGGGTTGGGATCGAACCCACTACCTACTGCATACCAGGCGAGGTAGTTAACATCTCCTAGCCACCGTGGTGATGATGAGAGAGAGAGAGAGACACGCAAACTCCAAATACACAGCAGGCGTTAGGGTCGGGATCGAACCCATGACCTACTGCATACCAGGCGAGGTAGTTAACATCTCCTAGCCACCGTGGTGATGGTGATGAGAGAGAGACACGCAAACTCCAAATACACAGCAGGCGTTAGGGTCGGGATCGAACCCATGACCTACTGCATACCAGGCGAGGTAGTTAACATCTCCTAGCCACCGTGGTGATGGTGATGAGAGAGAGACACGCAAACTCCAAATACACAGCAGGCGTCAGGGTTGGGATCGAACCCACGGCCTACTGCATACCAGGCGAGGTTGTTAACATCTCCTAGCCACCGTGACGCCCCAAGTTACGCACTCCCAGAAGGCCGTGCGGCCGATGGGTTGTGAAAGAAATCGCTTCGTTTTTTTTTTTTACTACGCAGAGAGAAAGACACGGGAAAGGAGATGTATTGCCCGCTTAATTATTTTGTCATTTTCCGTGGGAACCCGCCGACCGTGAACGTTCAGGCCAAGCGCTCACCGCGGGAGAGCAACTTCGTCGCCTTGCCATCCAAACCCAGTTTCTCATTTTCAACGCTGGCCTCCTCCTCCCTCGCGGGCGTCGGCTCCTCCTCCTCCTCCTCCTCGACACTCAGCGAGCTGGCGACTCTCGCTTGAGGCTCCTCCTAAAGGGCACGCGAGCGCACAACAGAGACAGACTTTTGGGCCAAGTGCTGTTAGCGAGCACCTACAAAGGCCGGCGCGGCACACGAGGGGGTGGGTGGGCCAACACCACGCACAGCTGCCTCTGTTTCCTCAACACTGATGATGTATGTTGAACTTCCTTCGCACAGTACGTAGCCAACCGTGCGAATCGGAGCCGAGGGAGAAGGACAACAAGCCGACACACAAAAAGCACTTCGAAAGAAATGAGTTTGTCGATTGAAATTATTTAAAAGTTCACAGCTCCCAGTGGCTTCCACACAACGGAAGGAAGAGCATTCCAGACGGCCGCAGAAGAGCATCTGAATGCGTGCGATGCGGTGGCCGTCTTTGTCCGATGGCTAACCAGAAGCCACTGCTGCTGCTGCTGCTGTTGCGAGGAATGACCGGAGTTCGCGCCATGGTGGTTTATGCTCCTACACACCGCACCAGGTAGTCAATTTAGACGGGCTCCCCCTACCCGTTACAAACGTGGTACCCGAGCGGGCCACTCATGAGCGGGGGGGGGGGGGGGGTGGCAGGGAGGATGGGGGGGGGGGGGCACGACGTCTTACGATGCTCTCGTGAGGTCCGTCGCCGGGGCTGCAGGCCGGCGGAGACTCCTCGCACACCGCCATGCTCCGCACGAGCCTCATCTTCCCCGAAGCCTGCGACGAGAGGTCACGGGGGTCGCGCGGGGTGCGGGAGGGGGGGGGCAAAGGTGCAGCCCCAGCGATGGCTTTGCTCGCAGCTGCCGAGCGACCGTCCTGAAGGACGATTCCGTTGGCCCAACGGGATATTCCACGGCGGAGGAGGTGGAGGAGGAGTACCCACACTTTACCCCACCGCACTAGACCTGTTGGTTGACTAGCTGCAGCAAACCCATTCACACAACCAACAAGATCCCTCAGATCATCTGGCCCCGGTCTTGTAGTCGTCCCAAACGCCAGGGATCAAACCCGAGAGAGAAGCGGCGTTTCGTGTCTACGATCCTCGCCTGAGGAACAGCTTTGCCAGGGGATCTGATGGCTTCAGAACCATTAAGCATTTTGAAAATTAATCTAAAAACGTACTTTTTTTTAAAAACTTGCTTTTAATTAGGATTTTCTTCACGTGTTGTTAATTTTATTACGTCTTGGCTAGACATTTGTCACAACGTGATGTTGTTTTGCCAACAATTTCATTTTCATTGTTCATGCCTGGAACGCACTATGCATTGCATTTTTTTTGCACGAATATTGCTACAGAAATGAAGTTTGATTGATTGATTGACTGCTGGGTGGGCAGAAGCTGCGTGACAGGCAGTGGCGGTGGGTGGATTTAAGAAACAATAATTTCATGACTGTAGTAATATAATAATTATTCTAATTGCATTTTTTCATTCCTCTTCCACAAGTTCTTGCGGACAGTGTGGAGAGGCAGGATAACATAACACGCAAGGTTCAGGAAAAATGACGAAACGGAGTTGGAGGCTACACGAGGGGCCTTGACGCTGCTGCTGCTGCTGCACAGAGCGGAGTTTGTTTCAACAGAGGGCAGCAGAGAGAGGGTTCAGAGTGGGGGTGGCCACACGCAGAGGTCACGTGGTGTACGGGAGGCTTGAACTGATTCAGAGAATTAGGGGCGCCGTGGTGGCTAGGAGATGTTAACTCCCTCGCCTGGTATACAGGAGGTTGTGGGTTCGATCCCGACCCCGACACCTGCTGAAAATTTGGAGTTTGCGTATTCTCGCATTGGCCGTGTGGATTTTTTTCCGGGTCCTCCGGTTTTGCCCTCGACAATTAGAATCAACGTCACGCGTTTTAGAGTTATTTGGTTTGCTATAAATTCCCACATGATAAGCCCACTTAGTTGAGTTATCATTTGTGACAGCCAGGTGGCTTCTGAAAAAGCGCTACATAGCTCGGTGAAGCCCTCACCTGGTAAAATAAAAATGTTTAGTTTATAATTGAGAAAGACAATAGATTATTTGGCGACGCCGCCGCTGCAATTGGCACAGTGGTGCATTGCACAAGCACACCGAACAATGAAGACGAAACACATTCGCCAGTGACACTGTGGGCCCTTGCACGATAGGAAGCGTGCGTAGTCAGCGATGTTTCAGCTGAGGTCGGGGCTTAGATGTCGCTGAAATATCTCTTAAATATCTCTTCTCTCTTTCAGCGCGAGGGTAATTGACTCAGGGTGCACGTGCGGCGGTTTAAATTGCTGTCACCTTGGACTTTTTCCTGCTCAATCCAGTCGCCTGGCTTCGATTCTGCAACAAAGGGGCAAATTGAAATAAATGCCGTGCGCAATCGTCGTTACACACAAAAACAACAGCAGCGGCGGCGGCGGCAGCGGTAGCTGCCGCTAAGCGGCGGTGATGGCACCAGAGCGCCGGTGCCATGCTAGGTGCACTTAAAGGCTGTCACGTGAAGTGTGGATGCCTCGCGCTTCCTGGTAGGAGTTCACACGGGACGGACCCCAGGTGTTACAGGTTGATTGACTGAGATGAGTGACAGATGCACCACCTGTGCTCCCCACCGTGTCATATGCACACGTGTAAAAAATAATACGAAGACAAAGATCCCCCGTATAGCCTTAACAGGCTGCTGGGGCAAGTGCTGTTAGCGATTAGCACCGATGAAGGCCGGCACGGCACACGAGGGGGTGGTTGGCCAGCACCACGCTCAATCGAGACCGAGTCGACCTAGGGGAGACCCAGGACCGGTTCCGATAATCGCTATCGCTGGTGTTGGCCGTGAGCGGGAATTGAACTCGTCTCGCTGGTTTCGTAGCGCAGCGCACTCGCCGCTGCACCACCGCTCCCCCCCCCCACCAAACAAAGATACAGATCCCCCGTGTAGCCTTAGCGGACTGTTGCGGCAAGTGCTGTTAGCTCTCCCACCGCACAAACACAAACACACACCGCATCAATGTACACACATCGCGCACAAACACCATACGCGCCCAACGCGCGCACACACACACACACACACCGTGGAGACACAGAGCATCGATGTCACGTGGCAGGAAACCCGAGAGGCCGGAGAGAAGACCACGCGACGCGTTACCAGGGGGGCAACGCCAAAACAAGCACTACCATCTTGGGAGCCTCCAGCCCACAACACCCGGCAAGCCCCGGGTGGTAAACTCACCGCAGGGCCACCCAGGCCAACACCGGCGTGGCTCACGTGATCAAACAACGAGCGCGGTTACCGCTCACCGCTGGCGCAGCAGACAATGAATCGCGTCAGTTGAATGCGTGGCAGGCTTTCGCGACCAATAGCATCCATAAGAGGTGCCAATTCGTCACTGGCACAGCACTAACCGGTTGCGTGCTGGGGAGCCAAGCCACAACAGCGCAGAAGCGTGGTCACCACATCTACGCATCGATATAAGGAACGATAACGGGTGGACAAATCTGGCTGTCGCCTGATGAAGCTGGCTGTAATTACCGGCGAAACGTCGTACTCAAGATTGTAAATGTCGTGGCTTGGCTCTCCAACACACAACCGGTTAGTGCTGTACTAGTATGCTACACTATACACTACACTATACACTACACTATACACTACACACTAGTGCTGTACCAGTGACGATTTGGCCACGTTCTGTTTACGCGACAACCCCTTTACTAGTTGGCTGTGTCGGGTGGTGGCGGTCACGCCATCTAACCTCCCACCCCAAATAAAATGAACGAATCATGTCTTTCAAAAAAAATCCAACGGTCTCACGATACACGGAAGGTGTTTCCTCTCTCGGCCCGTTCGTTTCATCGAAATATTTCACCCGGACGGTCCCTCGAGAGGGATACAGTCGCGTTCGCTCGCTCGGGGGGGGGGGGGGGGGGGGGTGAGGGGGGTGGGATGGGTCTTGTCCAGCGTTGTCACGTGGTGGGCAGGTCCAGGGCCCACCACGTGACGGACGACGCGTCGCGTGGAACCCGCTTGTTCCTTTCCGGGCTTTCCTCGTGATGTAACATTTAAAAAAAATAACATTTTGTCGTCCGATCGGATTACTCTGCAATTGTTGTTGTTGTTGTTGTTCGCGTTTGATCACAGTTGCTTCATTTTATTGGAATTTCGCTTTACATTGCATCTGTACTTGTGAGTACGGTGATATTTTTACGTTACAGCGCTTTCAGATACTTCAATATGAAAGGCGCGTTATAAAGTAGAGGTTGTTGTTGTTATTATTATTTGAACGCTTGCAACGACTGATATAGTTAGTTCTTTCGGTAAAGTCACGTAGAAGGGAAACAATAAAATAATAAAGAACCAAGAATATGAATCCCTGCAGTCACGAAAGCTTTAAATCAAAATTTGACTGATATAGTTCTCAACAGGGCTTTGACGCGAGGCTCATGTGCCGTTTACAGCCCTGAGCCAGCGGTAAAAGTAAAAAAAAAAAAAAAAAAAAAACTCCACGTTCCTATGGCAGGCGGCGGGTCAATCCACATGACGACCACTGTTGACGTCCCCACAAAGCGGCTCTCTCATTTGATCAACCCCAGCGGGATGATCGAGGTGGCGATGATGCCGACGTATGCACGTGCGCTGAACTTCCTTCGCACCGCGAGTCGCCAACCGTGCTAAATCGGGCGGTGCGGGGGAGAAGGACAGCAAAACTAAACACACGATGCTCCGAGTCAAAACGCACCCGACCGGAATTTGAACCCGCAACCTTCCGCCCCGCTCCGCCGGCTAAGCCGCGGTCCCAACAGCGACACCGAACATTTCCACTCTCACCGAACCGCCCGCACGCCCACCCGCAGCCCGCGTGTCGACCGTCAAGTCACCTGTGGCATCGCCGTGCCAGCCTCGGCCGCGCTCACGTCCTTCTCCTTCCTCCTCCTCCGCGCCGCCTCCTCCTCCTCCTCCTCCTCGTCCTCGGCGGGGCGGCCGTCCCGCTTGCGCGGCCACTCGGCGGGGAGGGCCGCGGCGGGGTCCTCCTCGGGGACGGCCGCGGCGGGCCCGGCGCCGTCGGGTTCCATCGCTCGCTCCCGTCGAGTGTCCGCCGGGTTCCGGCGCGCGGACGCGCGTGGCGGCGGCGGCGGCAGCGGCGGATCTGCGACGGGAAACCCGCGGCGGCGGCGGCGGCGGCGGCCCGGTGGGTGGGTGATGAGACGGGAGGGAGCCGGACGTCCGCCTCCGAGCCGGCGCTAACCGCGTGCCGTGGCCGTTTTTCCACCGCCGCCAATTAAGCCGGCGATCGGCAAACCGCGCCGCTACCCATCTCCCCGCCCCCAACCCCCACCCCCCCCCCCACGCCGCACTAACAACCAACCCGGCTCGATTCCAAGATGCGACGACGGAGAGCGGAGGATCCTCGGGGGCCCGCGCGGCGTCAATATTAAAAACAACAAAAAAAATGGAGCGAGTGGGGGGAAAAAACCCGAGAGAGGCGAGGAGGAGGAGGAGGAGCAGGAGGAGGAGGAGGAGGAGAGGGAAGGCGACCGACGGTGAAGTGGCGGCTGCCCGGCAGGCGCTCCTCGCTGCGGCCCTAATTGTGCAGCGGAGGGGCGTGGGTGGATGCCGCGCACTTCAAAGTAGGCGGTTGGTGATACGAAAGGGAAAAAAAAAAAACGACTCGGGAGCCCCTGATTGGGATGACTCACGCGAGCCATCCTCCGCCGAAGCGCGCGTTGTGTCGCGTGTGAGTGCGCGGAGGCTCGAAATAACTCATCAGCTGCTGCTGCTGCTGCCGCTGCCGCCCGTGTTCGTGGACGCGGGAACGGCGGTGCCAGGATCCTGCGCGGAAACCGAACGGGGGGGGCGGGGGGTCTCTCTCTCTCTCTCAACCCCCCCCCCCCCCCAAGCACCCCCGCCACCGGATGCGCTCGTTATTCAGCCGACGTGAAATCTCGGCGATTGGCGCCTTGAAGCGTTGCCATATAAGCGCCGGCCCCCCCCTCCTCCTCCCCCCCCACGGTCAACGTTTATAAGCGAGCGGGCGAGCAAGCGAGCGAGTCCAAGTTCAATTTCTGAGACGTTGACACGAGTGGCGGTGGTTCCCGTTCGGCCAGCGCTGTTTCACACGGGGGGATTACGTGGTGCTGCGTGAGCCACAGGAAGCAGCCGCAACAGTAGCTGGTAGCAGCAGCAAGCAGCAGCAGCAGCAGAAGTAGCAGCAACAACTAGCAGCAAGTAGCAGCAGCAGCAGCAGCTAGCTACAGCAGTAGCAGCAGTTAGCTGCAGTAGCAGCTAGCTCCAAGCAGTAGCAGCTAGCTGCAAGCAGTAGCAGCTGTACTGCAGCAGTTAGCTGCAGCAGGCGCAAGAAGCAGTAGCAAGCAGCAGCAGTTAGCTGCAGCAGCAGCTGGCAGCAGCAAGCAGTATCAGCTAGCCGCAACAGTATCAGCTAGCTGCAAGCGGTAGCAGCAGCTAGCTGCAACAGTAGCAGCTGGCTGCTACTGCTTGCAGCTAGCTGTTGCTAGCTGCTACTGCTTGCAGCCAGCAGCTAGCTGCTACTGCAGTAGCAGCTAGCTGCTACTGCAGCAGCAGCTAGCTGCAGCAGCAGCAGCAATTAGCAGCAGCGACGGCAAAAAACGTCGACATTGCAAAGAGAACGGAATACAGCAGCTGGGTCCCGAGGGAGGGATATCAACAAACGAGGTGTCTACCGGTATAGGTGCGGAAACATTTACAAGACGGGAAAATAATGTGCTGGAGAATGGTTCGTTTTTATAGGACAACGCGTTTGTTGTTGTTGTAGGAATCACCGATCAATGGATTCAGAGATGAAAGCCGATTGGCAGACGGCCGCGACACACGGCAACAAAACGGCGCGTGCCAGAGTGGGTCACCGCCCATTTGCATTCACCCCCCCCCGGCCCCCCACCGCCCACCAACCCCCCCCCGGCCCCCCACCAACCCCCCCCCCCCGCACCCATTAAACGAGGGCAAAACAGACGAGGTGGGAAGGGACCCGGGAGGAAACAATACGAACGAGACGGCCGAAAAGAAAAAAAACAGTCCGCATCGAATTGCACGACCACCCACCCAAACCCAATCGTGACAAGCCACAAGGCAACGCAGCGTGGCGTTGAGAGGTGGGCACGGAACGACGCGGGGGGCAGGGGGGGGGTGCAGGTGGAGGGTGCGGTGGTTGGCGCTACGCCGCGCCACGAACCCCGGAGCCGCGGGGTTCCATTCCCGCTCACGGCCAACGTCAGCGGCGCTTATTTGAACCGGTCCTGGGCCTCCCCTGGGTCCACTCGGCCTCGAATGAGTATAACTGGTGCGGGTGTGTAAACATGGCCACCGGGGAGACAAAGGCGGTCGGGCGTGGTGCTGACCCACCCCCACCCCCCCCCCCCCCTCCGTGTGCCGCGTCGGGCCTTCGAACGGTGCTCGCGAGCAGCACTTGCCCCAACAGTCTGTTACAGGCTATACGGGGGATCTTTGTCTTCTTTGGGAGTGCCGTGTCACTTTGAATCGTTGCAAGCTCGCATCCAATGCCAGCTCACAAAACATCGTCGTCCCGTACCACCGCTCTCCGACTCTTCGGCCTGATCGGTGCTTTTTTGTTCACCAACAACAAGTGCTGCCCACCCCCCCCCACCCCCCCACGCCGCCACCCCCAAAAGACCCCCCACAGCTCGCGCAGTTTTGTTGCCGACTGTTGCGCAGGAAAACGGACACGTGGGTCGAGTGGGGCAAGCCCTGGAAGTGCCTTGCTTACACCTCCCGACGCCCAGCGCCGGATTAAGCTAAGTGCGGGGCCTGTAGCATATGATGTTATAAAGGGGCCCGAAATTTGAAAAACAAAAACACGTTAATATTAAAACACAAGTCTTTTTAACTTGCACAGTAAAGTAATTTTATTTTTTCACTTGCTATACAGCCCAGATAATACGACAAATCGCTAACCTTAAAACACCCGGTCGTTCATAAAAGTCGAAGGCGGTATAGTACTATAGCAACGGAGCAAGTGCAGAATCATGTGGAGTGGCTACTACTAAACTGCCGCCGCCAGGAGGGCCGTCATGAGTGTTGATGGTCAGCGCAGCGGAAACCGGATCGAGTCTAGTCATTTAACAATTTAACTTTTTTTTTTTTACCAGGTAAGGCCCACACTGGGCTGCTGTAAAGCTCTTTTTTCAGAAGCGACCTGGCGCTCACAAATGATAGCTCAACGAAGTGGCTTATCAAATGGAAATATATCGCAGCCAAACACTCTAAGCGCGTGCTGATTGTAAATGTGGAGTGAAAAACCCAGAGGTCCTGGAGAAAAATGCACACGACCATGGGGAGAACATGCAGGCATCAAGGTCGGGATCGAACCCACGACGTCCTGTACACCAGGCGAAGGAGTTAACATCTCGCCTCCGTGGAGAGATGTAGGTACAATGCAGTCATTTTTTTATACTAATTTGGAGACGTATTTGCAAAACAATTCAACGCAAAGAGCATGCAGGGGACAGGAAAGGAAGGAGGACTTCTGGGTAAAATGCTACGCGCGAGCGAGCGGCGGTCCACCTAGAATCTCACGAGGATGCCAGCGGCGGATATTTTTAAGTGCCAGTCAACGCATCCCCAAGACCGAGTTCCGGCGGCGCCCTCGCAGGAGTCGCCGGGACGCGCAACGAGCTTTGATCTCTCCGCAAAACGGGACGAGGTGGCCGCGAGTAATCCCGGCGCGCCGACGAACTCGTAGGAACGCCCGCGACCGGGGAACCGCTACCGTACGCTGCCAAGACAGCACACGCGGCCACCGTCAGCTGCCGGGCAGGTGCGCTTCGCGTGGCATCGTGGGAAAGCGCTCTCGAAGAAGCCCTCTTCGGGGGCAATGTTTTTTTTTCCCGTCCCACTCTACCGTCTAGGAAGAGGTGCGTTAACAACGTCAATTTCAATCTCGTGCGCACTATAAAAAAAAATCAGCCGGCGGCCTTGACGTCGCGGAACAGAGAATCGAGACGAGGGTTACGCCGCCGCGTGCCGTATCACTCCGCGCGTGCACCCAGAATTCCCGCGCCGCTCAGCCCCACAGCTCAAGAAAGTAGTTTTGCCGTCGCGTTAGGCGATGGCCCGCCGCGTTCGTGATATCAGCGCCGGAAGTTAACGAGAGGCCGCGTCGATTTGCGCCAATTGCCGCTACCACACCGTAGGAAACCTGGGCCGCTCAACCGCACGATTCCCGTCCACACGCGGCCAGCCGCGACGCTGCTCGGAGAACACGGCGCTGGGAGTTGCCTTCCCAGTGGGCCCGGCGCGCAGATGAATTCCACAGTGGTTTTTCGTTTATTTTTTAAAATTTATTATTATTATTTCTATTCACTTTTTTTTTCTTTCTTTCTACGTGACTTTACCGAAAGAAGCAAAACAATATTTACATCCTGCGGCCATGACCACCAACTTGTTTGCACTTGCATCAGCAACCGCTTAAGCGCTTAAACCTCGGAGGGAGGCTTCGGCACTCAGCGGTGTGTCCGACGTGCCCTGCACGGCGATTCCACGACAGCCGGGTCGATCGCGCGAGTCCGTCTCGCTAAAGTTTTCGCGGACGACGTTATTTTTGTTGTTGTTGTTGTTGTCGTTGCAGTCGATCAATCGGAGCCACGATCCTGCGCCAATAAATCGGAAGCAGAATCTTTCTTTCCACTGGAGGGTCGGAATCCGATGAGCTATGAAGCTGTTTTTTTTATCTACCGATGGTCCAGTTTAGAGGCGGGTCAGCAATTTAAGACAACAAACAATACAAACGACAGGAGTGCAAAATAGAGAAATGGAAAGCAAGTCACTGAACATATAAAGACATAAATTAGGGCGAGAACCCCCCGCCCCCCCCCAACCCGAGTCAATAATCAATTACTCTGAACGGTAATCCCAACTTGTACCGCCGCCACCGCACGCTACCCGCTCGTCGCTCTCGCCGGGCGAGAGCGACGAGCAGGACGGACTCGGAGGAGCCAGGAGGGGGAGAACCACGGACCGGCGGAAACCAGTCCCCGAGGAGTTCCGTTTCCGTATGGGATCATCTCCGCGAAAAGTCGTCGACTTCCGGACGGGCGGGCGGGCGGGCGGACGGACGGACGGACGGACGCAGCCTTTGCGCTCACGCCCTCAACC